AGGTAAAGGTTCCCCTCACACATACATACATCCCAACTCTAGGGGGCGGTACTCATCTCCGTTTCAAAGCTGAAGAGCCAGCTCTGTCCAAAGACGTCTCCATGGTCATGAGGTCAGCATGACTAAATGCCGAAGGTGCACAGAACGCTGTTAATTTCCCACCGTTGGTCCCTATTTTTTTTTACTTGCATTTTTACGTGCTTTCAAACTGCTAGGTTGGCAGAAGGTGGGACAAGTAATGGGAGCTCACTCTGTTACGTGGCACTAGGGATTCGAACTGCCAAACTGCTGAGCTTTCTGATCAACAAGCTCAGGATCTTAGCCACTGAGCCACTGCATCCCTTTTAATTTAATTTAATTTCAGATTAGATGACCGATTATATGAATTATTTTGAATGCTTTTTTCTGATGTTGATAATTATTTTTCTTACGTTGCCGTGCATTGCCCAGAGTCCCTTAAGACTGCAGTGTGTTAGAAAAATTGTTAAATAAACAAATAAATATCCACTAGACAAGTTATAAACGAAACAATCTAAAGCCACAGCGCATTTGCTTTATGGGGATATTTTGGGCGCAAAAGCTAAGAGCTGTGTAGTTGGATAGTCTCCCAAGTTATTTGTTTTAAGATCTGCTACATGGACATAAATCTCCCATTCTTTAGGGAGAAAGAACATTTTTAGCCTTCCCACGTCTTTTCTTGCAAGTTCAGGTCAGGCCTCAGAAAATGATGGGTATTTATTCACTGATCCCAATGGTGTGAAAACTGTAAAGATCAACATTTCTTTTCAGGAAATACACAAGAAAACCCCAACATCTGCTATTATATTCAAGAAGAGTTTGCGTGCATATACATATGCATATGCACTAATTCGGGGTAGAATCGGGGTGAATGGATGGAGCAGAGCATTTACTGTCCAGATGCCCTTCCTGACACCATGCAGAGTTCACAGCGCTCTAAGAGAGAAATACCTGTTGCTACCTAGGATTGAATTCTCAATCTTCCGAATGGGGGCAAGCGCCTTCACCACTAGGCCACCATGCTGCACTCAATGGAATAAACAATGACAAAGAAAACAATGAGAATACAGAGATATGGGTGTGTGGCGAAGCAGGGATTCAGGTGGGGAGCTGGGTACGAAGGCTAAGTACGAATACTGGGTGCAGGCTCAGGATGGCAAGTTTGAAGGAATAACACGGGGCAAAAGACTAATTCTTTGCCCCTTGATGAAGCTTCTACAGGAAATGAGGGGAGACAATGTTAAAGGAAATTGCATTCCCATCAACGGAAGCTCTACTTCCAAAACAAGTGAAAATCCTTGGGAGCCATAATCCAGTAAGAATCATAGCAGGGATGTGGGAAGGATTTAAACTCATGCAAATTCTGCAGCCCAGACCTGCTTTTTAATGCCGTTAAATCCACATTGCTAATGGCATGATTAGGAGTGGAACTGGAGTCGTCTTCTGCAACCTGGCAGCTTCAGGACACGTTATAAGAAAACTCTTTTTAAAGGTTGAGAAAGAAAATTGAGTATTTCAAAACATGACAAACTTACTGAATAACTCAAGTCTTGTATTGTAAAAAGAGCTGTCCCTCTGATTAAGCCATTTGGGAGAAATTCACAAAGCTCCCACCAAAATGAATTCACTGTTAAAATTTTCTTCCTGCAGTTCCCAAGATTCTGTATCTTAAGGTAAAGGTTCCCCACGCACATGTGTGCTAGTCGTTCCTGACTCTAGGGGGCGGTGCTCATCTCCATTGCAAAGCCGAAGAGCCA